CCCCAAAACCCCAAAACCCCAAAACCCCAAAACCCCAAAACCCCAAAACCCCAAAACCCCAAAACCCCAAATAATAAGTCAAAGATTGAAATATTATGTATTTTGTTGAAAGAATGGGGGTCTATCTAGCATCCCTAAAGAAGCAAACCATCTCTGTTTAAGATAAAGAGTCGAAGGACAGGGCCCAGTGAAATCCTATTTTAACATCAAAAATAGCAATATGAAGAGATTGAAGTCAAAAACCCAATCTGAAAGATTCACATCAGAGAAGATTATTTAATTCATAAGACACCATTTTACAGTTGATGATTAAATTCCCAAAGGAGAAAGAGTTCCTTAGATCTCAAGCACAACATATTCTTGTAATTTAGGCAAATATCCTACCGAAAACCTTCTAGTGAATGCTGGAATCAGGGAAGAATCTAAGAATTTTTATTAAAGAAGAGTACAATAAAACGTAGGTACAACTGGTCTAGAGAAGGAACCTTCAATTGAATATAACACAAAAATTCACCAATTTATTTCAGAAATCAGCAAACAAAGCCCGGAGATTTCACTCTCTTTTCCTATGAACCTTTTAGAGGATGCTAAGGCCTCTTATTAATGAAATCATAAAGAATTGATATTGATAACGATTAATAGGAAATTCCCAAGAGGGAAATTAAAAGAACAAAAGACACTAAGTTCCAATCTCAAAATAATATTTTGTGGTATAGAAATAAATACCCAAGCTCAAGCAAGTGAATGAAGAATTCATTGCAGATGATGCGAAATTAAACAATTGAGATATTTCTATTCTCAAGATTTCATGAGCAAAATTAGATTTCATAAAGATGACCAAACCTTACTTTTTAAAAATTAAAACATATATCTTTCCTCCAAATATTTTCTGCTTTCCTTAAAAACTATACATGCATGTAAGCCAATGAATCCACACTCTCTGACTCTTCATGAATTCTTAAGAAGAAAGGAAGCATTCTCAATAAGAAAGCAGACATGAGATTTCTCTGAGTTAAGCCTCTAGTTTCTCCTAATCATCGTAAACTTGTCATCTTGGTACTTGACATTTAAGTTAATAAGGAGGTAGAAAGAGGATTAATAAGTAGCAAGCAATGATCCCAGAGGTAGAAGTCTCAGTACGAGACCTCAAAGAGCTAGATAATTTGAAGACATGATGATTAACCGAATAATTATCATAATTACAGGGGCTTCAATACAGCCATAGAGCTTTGGGGTTTTGGGGTTTTGGGGTTTTGGGGTTTTGGGG